AAAAAAACGTCCTCACCCTCCCTCATTTCTCCACACTGAGTGGTCAGAGGTCAAAGTTCAGACACAGCACAGCATTCTCACAGCTGTTTGGGATTCAGAACAATGCTCAAGGACACTTCAGCAGCACACAGGGTTGTGACCCTGATTTGATTCTCATTAATCACAACACGTCCCGGCGCCACCGCAGGTCGCTGTGACAACAAGCTCCTGGTTAAAACAGAAATGTAAGCGTTCTGAAAGGTCCTTCCTTCTGCAGGCTGCGGCTCGATGTTTCCCTTTATGTACAAATGTGACAAACAACAGTAGCATTTCACTCTGAGACTCAATGAATGTACAAACTAATACTGTAACGCTGGAGCTGGTGCATCGCGGCAGAGTCGCCCAATCTCATGATCTCTGTCGTTCACACGCGAGCCAGTTTGGTGTAAACAGTCACATGACTTCAGTATAAAGTACTTTTTTTTTCTTCTTCTCTGAAACATGCAGAGGTAATAGATGTATATTTGATTAGATAAAGTGATATTTCACACCGGTGGAAAGTTTTCTGGACGATCTTCAGTGTCAGTCAGCTTCCACGAAGCTGAAATGATAAAGGATTCATATTGTTTTTGCCTGATTTGATGGATCTTTGATTGAGATATATACACATAGGCTTTAAAGTCAGATAACTCCAAGGCATTGTCCTCTAAATAACAAACGAAATGCCTTTATGCTCACAGCATGGTCATGTTTAATCTAAAGAAAGTTCCTATCATGACCAAACCATGAGAATAAAAACATTTTAAGCGAGTTTAATTTTGGAGCCTTAAAACAGGGATGTCAAACGTACCAAACAACAAGAGCCAGAACTGGCCCGTCAGAGGTCCAGCCCAGCGTGCTTTGCAGAGAAGAAGGGCTCAAATGTAACTTTTCATTAAGTAAGAATCACAAGACTCCAAACTGTTATTGTCTCCTGAGCCTGAGGTCCTACTGACAAAGGCTTGAACCTCAGGCTGCCACATCCCAATAAAAGTAACAGAAAAAGCATTAAATAACAGAAAAGTTTGTTTTTTCTTTATAGATGAACCATATCAAATATCATTTGTCTCCATTAAAGAGAAATCAGAAATTATCTGTGATATAACAGAAAATTTCTCTTTTCTTAAATCAGGAAACAAAGTCTGGCTAATGTCAGTACTTTCTTGTGATTTTGTGGATCCATTTCTTATAGTGTGGATTAAAGCCTGAGTGGACATGCTGATGGGATTCTTTGAGTTATCACTGCGCTTTTCTCTGAGTTTATTACATTCAAATGAGTTTGACGTTCCTGCTTTAAAAGAAGTAAACATGGAAACCATCTGAGGTCACGTTGCCTCGAATCGTGTCAGCAGCAACATTTTCAGACGTTACATAAAAAGCAGAAATAAAAGAGTGAGCGACGCCCCCGAGGCGGCCTCTGTTTACAGCTGACTGTTCAGTAATTTAGATAAAAAAATAAACATTTCTGTCCAAGTGAAATATCGCTTTATGAAAGCAGAATGAAGTGATGCATATTAAGGTCTAAGAAGTGTACAAAAACTATGAAAAATATTATGTGGCCTGAGAAAGAAGTTTTGTGTTTGTCTGTGAGTCTTTTGCAATGAATATATGACAATGAAAGTAAAGTTTAGTACAAAATATGACAAAAAAAATAGAATTTAAAGGGATATATCACTTTGATTTTAAGGTGGAATTTTAGTTACGTTATATTATAAATTAATGGAAACGTTTATAGATTACAGATTATTATAAGTAGCAGAAAGTAAAAAACACAGAGTAAAAACTCTGTGTTGATATTTGAGTCTTATAATGATTGTATTACTTGAGAAAAGTGACATAGCCCTTTAACCTGAGCGAAAACCAGGGTTACAGAGACTGTTACAGAGCAGGCGGTGTGTGAGATAAAGCTGGTTTATTACTCCAAGTATAAAATAGTCACATTTAGTGTTATATTCATGAATTTAAGAGAACTACATTTATCTCTTCACTCTTGGTGCTAAGTTGCAAATATCTGTGTAAAAATCATCTTAAAGTCGTTTACTTGTTACAAAAGAAGAACAGAGCTCTGTCTTCATGAAAGCCTGGTCAAATAAATCTCGATATTACTCGACTCAGTAGCTCCTCCTGTATTTTCTGTGAACTTTACTTATCAGAAGGCCAGACGCATAAAAGTTGCACAATCAGACTGTTGTGGATTGAGCAAACTTTGCAGCACCACCATTTCAGAGTTGATGGTCTCATTACAGTTTTCATTAGA